TCGGAGCACCCCTAATTTAAATCAATGTGAAAAACGAGATAGGTCAAAGGTAATCTAAAAGTAGTTGATTATATTACCTAAAATGTGTAATGCAATGGATTACGTTACCAACTACAATTTTTGTTATGTAATTTAGAATCAGTAATGGATTACAATTTGTAAGTAATCTACCCAGCTCTGCATGTCAAAAGATCTAGGAAAATTGTATTCAATTATTCCATATGGACAAAATGGGATTTTTGCTTCAGGCCCTCATTGTTACTTTCCATCAGACAGCTGTTACACTTCAAGATGCAATGCACAGACCCAATATTATGAGACAGAGCAGATGCCCCGCCTGTTTACATTTACATACCTACACTGTAAAAAATGTTATGATGAAAAAGCCATGACAGCTTATGTTTTTAAGTTACTTTAACTCATAAAAATAATTTAAGCAATTTCAACTTTTTTTTATAAGTTATACCATGTTAAAAATGTTGAACTCAAGTTGAAACAGCAAATGTTGTAAAGTCAAATGAACTTCAATAAAACAATTCAGCACTAGGCAAGATTTAAATTAGTGAGTTGAAACGACTTGTACTTTTAAGTTGATTTAACTTAAAATTTTAAGGCAGCCACAAAACTTACGTTTTTATGTTGATAGGGGTGAAAATTTTTTACAGTGTAGTTTGCTTGCACTGATACCTCAGCAGACGAGCACTCTGACCAAGAAGTGCATTTGACCATTGACTCATGTGGCCACCAGCACTCTTCAATATTAATAAAATATTAATAAAATATAATACTAACTTAACAGCCACATCTACCTAAAATACACTCACTGGAATAAATACCACATTAAAAATGTATATAGTATACATGAAATATATATTAAATATAAACATACTGACTGATTATGAGTTATGTGATTGTGAGCTGGAAGCAGCTATGGCAGCAGATGAGCTTGTGTAAGATGACGTTGGCAGCAGAAAAGCAAACAGAGTGCAGATCACATTAGGCTTTAGTGCTCTGCCCTGACTCTAAGCCCTGCCATAAGACACTTCCCATGACTCACTGAAACATGAAGAAACATAAGTAGCCTCGTGTAAATTAGGCTGGATGAAGGAAGGAATAAAACACTGAGAGAGAATATCGCATTAAGGGAAATGTCTTCAACTCTCTTAAGTTCTGTAACTTACCCATTCAATGCAATAAAACAACAGCTAGATTATTTTCCAGTTCTGAAGAAAAGAGTGGTTGCATATGCAAAACTCACAAAAGCAATGCTAGGATGTTGTGGGTGGTTGTTTACGGGGCCCAAGCTGAAAGAACCCACCTCAAACATTTGACATCCTGGTCTCTAGATATGACTGTTTGTCCCACTTTCCATGTAAACACAGATTTGTCCCTATAGCTCAAGATCATCTACCTGCCACTATTCACCTGCATACTTTTCTTTTCATCATTTTCCCAAAACATGCAACATCTCAATAAATCAATCTGCAGACAAGCGAATACACAGATTTGTAACATGATGCCTGAAATGGAGATTCATAATTATAATTCTGCAAACAATGCTTAAAGCCCACATGCTGATCCCTGTAGTCATACAAAAGTGTCAGGGCACAAAATCTAATTAAAGAAATAGTTCACCCAAAAATGAAATTTGCTAGACATGTACACACACCCTCAGGCTATCTGAGATGTGGATGAGTTTGTTTCTTCATCAGATTTGGAGAAATGTAGCATTACATCACTTGCTCACCAATGAATCCTCTGCCGTCAGAATGAGAGTTTAAACAGCTGATAAAAACAACACAATAATCCACAAGTAATCCACACCACTCCAGGGGCCTGTACCATGAAGCCGGATTAGCTGGCTAGCCAGGTAAGTTTCAGTTTAGTTTGCACCAATAATGGGTTTTAGGTACCATGAAAGTGGCTTGGCTTTTAGCTGCATTCATTGCTATAGTAACTTACACTGCACAGCTAACCTGCTCCAGGGCAGGTTATGTTCTGGGTAAGCAATCTCAAACTGAAATTGGACCAATCAGATGTGAGCAAAGTGACGCATGTCTGACTCAAAAAAAAAAAAAAAAAAAAACACACACACACACACACAAGCTCCCCAGTTTCTCTTCCTACAAATTAAAGGTCATTATAAAGTACCTTAAAAAAAATTACTACAAAATTGTCTGGCTTTAATGATAATTGCAATCTACATATGATTTATATAATTACAATATGATTTATATTATTATTATTCCATGGTACCTATAAAGCCAGATTGGAATGCTTTGGTTTTGTCAACTCGAAACTAATCCTGTAACTCAGGATTTGTTCATCTACCATCATGGTACAGGCCTCAGTCCATCAGTCAACATCTTGTGAAGCCAAAAGCTATTTGTTTGTAAGAAACAAATCCATCATTAAGATGTTTTTAACTTCAAACCTTTGCTTCTGGCCAAAACATGCATCCATAGTCCATAATATTGCTTCCTTCAGTGAAAAATTCGCCTAGTCTGAAACGGGAGAAATATAAGCAGATCAAGCACCATTTACAAGCAAAAACAGTCCAAAACATATTCTAAACTATTATATGTTCCAGTGAAAAAGTCATCTGGTCTGAATCAGGAGAGAAATCTGCACAGCTCAAGCACCATTTACAAGCCAAACCAGTCCAAAACAGCTCTAAACAAATATGTGGATGAATTTTGATGTGAAAGACATCAGGAGATGGACTTTTTCATTGGAGGAAGCGTTATTATGGATTATGGACTCATATTTTGACCAAAAGTGACGGTTTGAAGTTAAAGTGGTCATATGATGCAATTTAAATTTTTCCTTTCTCTTTGGAGTGTTACAAGCTCTTGGTGCATAAAGAAGATCTGTAAAGTTGCAAACACTAAAGTCTCAAATCCAAAGAGATATTCTTTATAAAAGTTAAGAGTCAGCCAAAATAATGTTCTTTTTAGCAACATCATATGACCCCTTTAAAACGCCTTGATGGATCTGTTTCTTACAAACATGCAGCTTTTGGCTTCACAAGATGTTAACTGATGGACTGGAGTGGTGTGGATTATTGTGATGTTTTTATCAGCTGTTTGGACTCTCATTCTGACGGCACCCATTCACTGCAGAGCATCCATTGGTGAGCAAGTGATGTAATGCTGCATTTCTCCAAATCTGATGAAGAAAAACTCATCTACATCTCAGATAGCCTGAGAGTGAACACATTTTCATTTTTTGTGTGAACTATTTCTTTAATAACATTCCTTTTGGTTCTAGGCTGTGCAAAAACGTGTGTAAAAGAGAGAGATACTGAATCCACAAGGTTGGTAGTGAAAAGTGATACAAGTATAATATGCACAACAGACTTAAACAAAAAACAAAACTCTCACTGGGTGATTGTTTGACAAGAACAATTGCAAAACTACCAAATGAGGGAAGTTCTGAAAACTTTAAGCGCAACACTGCCATTTCAGCTTTGCAGGAACACTCCACTGTTACTAAATAAACCAATTACCCCGCACAAGCCCAATTACACAGACGGAAAAAAGCGACACCTGAAAGATGTGAAAAACAGAGATGTGGTTCTGCCCCACCAGTTTCCATCTCCACTAACGACTTACAGTCAAACGCGTGTTTGCAGCCACAGGGTAGCAGTGTCTGAAATGAGACCAGATCTAAACACACTTCCAGTGACGTGAAGCCAACAGCATTAGGGCACAACCTTCAGACGAACAAACAAGATAAGATACATCTAGCATATCTAATCTTCTAATATTATCTGTAAATTACTAAGCCAGTTGAGAAGTGTAGTAACCATTAAAATAAGGAAATATTACACTGTAACTAACTATACACCATATTCAAACAATTATCTTCCATTGAGGAAACAGTCCATTTACAAATCAAAGTGTACTTTTAAAATGAACACAATAGGTTCAAACACTGGGGCATAGATGCATTAGCTTATAATTAAAAGAAAATTAAATAGATATATATTTATCTACCTAAATAACTCAAAACCATCACATATGGCTAATGTACAACATTCTTGCAACATAACTGTACAAGTACAGTACAGATGTTTTATTGCTCTACATTGAGCTTTTTCTAAAGATATTTCTTCACCGTTACTCTACTGAATAAAAACTACCTTTATTAAGTGTAAAGTACCTAAAATACCCATTTTGTAAAGTTTTTTTTTTTTTAACTTTATGAGAGCATTTTATAGTCATTGCTTGATTATAAAAACTAATTAACAACAAATACAAAAATGTACTTAACTACAAAGCAGTACCTGTACACAGTGCTCCGGAAATCGTAATAAATGCTTGCTAGGATACATTTTAAGGTGTTTTGTTATATCAAACTAAATTATATTAGACAACAAACACAGATATCTGACAGCTATAGATTACAAATATCATCTTATGACAGTTGAACAACAGAGGAAATCACTACAGGGGAATTTTGCCTGCATATTTTAGATATTTAAAGCTTGGTATATGTTTGTTCAAACAACGCATGTGAAGTCAACAAGTCAGCCTCAACAGATTACGGTCTACTAGTGAAGCTACTGTCAAACGTTTTGCAATATTCATAAAGCGCACGAGTAAAGTCACTTGTGACATTTGTTGCAGAAAGAAAACAAATTACACAACTGCCAGTAAACAGGAAACAAGCAAATCAACAGACAAAACAAACAAAAACATCCCGCAATCACGATGAGCTGCAGGCGAGCTTCCCTCCAAAACGATTTAAAAACAAAACCGTTAAATTATCTCAATATTGGTGTTCTCAATAACCTCATATCTGACCACCTGCTACATAAAACAAAACACACGAAATATTACAATACTTCGTTTAATTTAAGCGAAACGCTGCCCTGTGCCTTCATTACATGTAATTTAACGCTAGCTTCGCGCTAACTCAATAAGACCGCAGCACCAAAACAATGAAGCGAACAGACTGTGTGTCGATAAAAGAGTTTAAACGGCTCGTAACGTTACCAGCTGCTGTCGGATCCAGCGAATCATCCTGACTCGAGCTAGCGCAGTGAGCTAGCCCGCTCCTCCGACACAAATCCCCGCAGCATCAATAAAACCGCTTCCCCTGGCGCGTCCTCCTCTCCGCATTACAGTGCGAGCGAGCGAAGACCCCGGCCCATTCTGAAGCTCGAACCCAATGCGGCGAAGCGCAAACGCGGACACAAACACACACCGACTGCGCTTGACCGAGACCACTTCTGACTGGCAACATCCCGGAAGTGACGTCACCCTGGCCCGAGCGCAAAGTTGTGTGTGTGTCACACGCGCTACAGGAATTCCTAGGTTCGCTAACGGCGAGTGTGTTGAGTTTCATGTTCACTCGCGAAAAATCGAGTTTCTATCGACTGAAATATAGACAATGATACTCCTGTGACAGTTATTACGTAATCGTCGCTTTAAAGGAAGAGTTGAGCAAAAAAAAAACATGCATATATTATGTAAACAAAAACTTTTGTTTTGGATGCGATTAATCGTTTGACAGCACTAATATATATATATATATATATATACACACCGGTCAAAAGTTTGGGATCAGAACGATTTTTTACGTTTTTAAAGGAGTTTCTTATGCTCACCAAGACTGCTTGATAAAAAAAAAATACAGGAAAAAATGTAATATTGTGAAATATTGTTACGATGTAAAATAAAAATGTTCTATTTTAATATACATTAAAATGCACTTTATTCCTGTGATCAAAGCTGTATTTTCAGCATCATTGCTCCAGTCTTCAGTGTCACATGATCCTCCAGAAATCACTCTAATAAGCTGATTTATTATCAGTGCTGGGAACTGTTGTGCTGCTTAATGATTTTTTGGGAAACTGCGATACATTTTTTCAGGATTCTTTGATGAATAAAAAGTTAAAAAGAAGAGTATTTATTCTATATTGTAATATTATTCTATAATATACACTAGCGATCAAAAGTCTGGGGTCAGTAAATTTGTATTCTTTCTTTTTTTTTGAAAGAAATTAAAACTTTTATTCAGCAAGGATGTGTTAAATTGATAAGAAGTGATAGCAAAGATTTATATTGTTCGAAAAGATTTATATTTTTAATAAATGCGGTTCTTTTTAACTTTTTATTCATCAAAGAATCCTGAAAAAAGTATCGCAGTTTCCCAAAAAAATATTTGGCAGCACAACTGTTGCCAACCAGCAGTGTACACACACACACACACCGTGAACACACAACCGGAGCAGTGGGCTGCGGCGCCCAGGCAGCAGTTGGGGGTTCGGTGCCTTGCTCAAGGGCACCTCAGTCGTGGTATTGAAGGTGGGAGAGAGTGCTGTACATTCACTCCCCCCACCTACAATCCCTGCCGGTACGAGACTCGACCCCGCAACCTTTGGGTTACGAGTCCGACTCTCTAACCATTAGGCCACGACTTCCACACGTTAATTAAGAGCTGCTTAAAAATAAACGTGCACAAATTAGTGAGATTGTGTGAACTTAATTTGTCGTTTATGGAACCGCTTTAGCCCCGATTGATTTGTTAGGTTATTTCAAGTCAGGTTTTGGACTTTAATCCCAGGTTTTCCTCGGGTCTCCGTGGTGTTGTGATAGCCTACGTTATATTCACGCAGCAGCGGTGATGAGAGAGCACGCTTGAGAAACAGTTTAGAGAGGAGAAATCAATCTACATATAAAATATTGGTCACAGATTATTGGTCACTTTCTAAACAAAAAAAGATATAGCGCATTCACTAGTAATTATATATAAATGAATCGGTTTTTACCGATGCAAATATGTTAGAAACGATGCATCGCGATACAAATGCCAACTTGTATCCGATGCACACTTTTTAAACCAATGCATCGCATTAACTTTTTATGCCGATGCACCGAGCGAATCGGTGAATCTTCCCATCCCTAATGTGTATATCTATATCTATATCTGAAGAGTTCAGATGCATAAGCCTATAAGTGCCATCTGAAATTTTCTTCTAAAATTTTTCTCAGGACCCTACACTCTAAAAAAAAATGCTGGGTTAAATACAACCCAGCGCTGGGTAAAATATGGACAAACCCAGCGATTAGGTTGTTTTCATCCAACAGTTGGGTTGAATGTTTAACCCAACCTTCTGGGTAGTAACCCAACTGCTGGGTCAAAACAACCCAATCGCTGGGTTTGTCCATATTTTACCCAGCACTGGGTTGCATTTAACCCAGCATTTTTTAAGAGTGTATGTTTATGTTCAGTTATTTCACTTTAATGGCAATGAAAAAACCCTATTCATTGCCATTAAAGTGAAATTACTGAACCTACACATTGGAGCCTGATAAAAATGCTCATTTTAGAAGAAAATTTCCAACGTCACTTAGAGGCTTATGCATCTGAACTCTTCATATATTTATATATATGTGTATGTATATGTATATGTGTAGCTAATTTAATCCACAATGCAAAACACCTGAAGTTTTGCACTTAACTACATATATTTATCTATTTCCGATAGAGTGATTGTCATGATATTGTGACTCAGTGGCATTATGGGGAACAGATGCAGAGATTATGCCATGCCAGTGGTTCACGCTGCATTGAAGTCTGTATAAACAGCATTAATCTGTCAGAGAGCACTGCAGTTCCTCATCATAAACTGAGAGTCTCTAGATTAGTTTAAGAGCATCACAGCTGTCAGAGTATCTGCTGTCAGATCACTGCCTAATATTTGGGGAAAATCAAAACAATCATTGTGAATGTTCAGTTTTGCGCGTCAGCTTTTGCCCATTCGGCAAATGGATGGATGAACAGATAGATAGATAGATAGATAGATAGATAGATAGATAGATGTTTCTGTGAATAAAGTTGTTTGTAAAATATTAATGAATTTGGCTCTGTGTGTGCGCCTTTCCCTTTATTAATGAGCAACTCGGTAGCCTATGTTTATCACTTAATTTACTGAAGGTCGCTTCCATTCAAGTGCCTTTTATAACACAATAGCACCTCACTCAGGATAAAAAGCGAAAAAACGAAGCATTTTTGATATTTTTGTTCTGAGAAGTTGTCCAAGTCGTAATTTATATTGAAAAAAATTACTGTTTTGGATGGACGAATGTCTAATAATTAATATTATTATTAATAATAATAATAATAATAATAATAATAATAACAACACAACGGAAACAAGCCACAACACAATGGAAACAAGTCAATATGCTGTTCAGGGGGCCTAGAAACCATAGCAGCGACTCTGGAAGTAGGCATGGAATTTTAAATGCAGTACTTGGTTCAGGTGTGTTTGATTGGGATTGGAGCTAAACTCTGCAGGACATTTGGGCACCCCTGCCATAGACACTTTTGCCGGGCTCAACGGCAAATGTCTATCCCGGTGTTTCCCAACCCTGTTCCTGGAGGCATGCAATAGTAGACTAGTCCACTGCACAGAAGACTCCACCTCCTCCTGGAGACCAGGTGATGACGCTGTCCCCGGACAGCGTGAGGAGATCCCTCAGCAGGATCAATGCACGCAAAGCTCCGGGTCCTGACAACATTCCTGGGCGTGTACTGAGAGACTGGCAGTCTTTATGTGTGAACTACTCAACATCACATCAAGGAGGCTCACTGACGCATTTACACAACACTATTTTCAGCTAAAAAAAATCTAAACTTTTTGTGTGTTTTGGCTGTTCATTTACACAACAGCAGCATTTTGGGGACCTGAATACACAAACTTTTGAAAATGGGTTTCAAAGCGCAAGTTTTAAGTCGTCTTTTATTTCCTGAAACATTAAAAATAACGTGGAATTAAAAGTAATATGGCTTAATGGATAATGTGTTCTTCTGGTATTCCAAATAAATTAATACCTGTGGAAAAAATCCCCTCCCTTCTACCACGCTCTCTCTGTTCTCTGCGGTGCCTCCTCCTATAGCAACAACAATTGCAGCCCTTTCAAGAGCAAAATAGTTAAAGACATGCTTTTTTGGGGGCATTAAATAATGGCGCAAATACCAGTAATGTTGACGAGCTCAAACGTTAGTAAATCGTGTTGCGGGATTCATTTGAATACTGTCCTCCCATAAATTTTGTATCTGATAGGGAAACTCCTACAATCAGTAAGGTCAGGTGCAAATATAATTGTGTCCATGCTTTTTCAGCGCTAATTCTTCACTGTGCGTCTTTAGTAAATCCTGACAGTACTATTTTAACGCCAATAAATGGTTTGCGCTGGTGCAAGCTGTTTTAAAACTGGCCTGTAGTGTCTACTGGCATGGCATGAATAATACAGCATTTTTAGTCGTTTTCGCAGATCCGTGTGAACTAGGATTGTTTTGACAATTTTGTGGTCTGTGTGAAACTTTGCAGAAACACAAAGGAAAAAAAATCTGTTTATAGTACAATTTTTGTTGTGTACACATATTCTAGTACATAATTTCCATTTCAAGATAGTACATTTCATAAATACTTTGCATGCACACTGATGCTGCTCCTTTGCAAGTAAAAATAATATTATTATAAGCGAGATGTTCGCTCTAAACATATTCTTAGTTAGTTGCTTAGTCATGAAACATATCAACACATTTATAAGTATTCTATGTGGAACCCTACTTTTACCTGTTGGTACATGCCTTCACTTTTATCAGAGATGGTCATATTCAAGTGGCTTTGTTTTTATAGACCTGTGAAAGCTGTGCTTGTGATGTTTCAGTTGGTGGAGGCGTGACATGTGAAAGGATATTTGAATATTTTAAAATGCTACTTTAAAGCATTGCATGATAGCTAAAAATAGAGCATGATGGAAATTTTAGCTCATTCAAACTGATGGATGCATATTTGTTGTAGCGCAACCTTATTATTTTAAATAATTGTGTGGCAGTTCCCAAATCAGAAATGCCATCCATACTTTAAAACACAGTAGGCTTGTTACGAGAGAGAGAGAGAAAAAAAGTGAATATTTTGAATAATGTTCTACTTTTTACAGCTTTTCCTCCCTGTCCTTAGTATCACTAACGACATCATCCTCCAGGAAGTGACATCATTTTGGTGGGAACATCAAAAGTGAGTTTCCGAATCGCCTTTAAAAAGAAAAGAAGCATAAGAATAGCATGAACATGTGTTAGCAATGACTGAATCTAATTTATTCTGGGATGTTTTGTGAAATCCTTTTTTAGTTTTGTTTATGTCATTAAAAAACCGTAAGGTTGACACCCACATGTAAGCTAATCAATCTGTCATGAAATGATAAAAAAAAGAAAA